GCCACATTTCCGGACAGCAAGATCGTCGAGGATTGTCACCAACTCTTACGAACAGCCACAGGTCCGAAAGCACACCAAAAACTCACGGGGACATGTATCCAGCAGCTGCTGACCAACTCCGACATATTGGAGTGTCGGGGCATGGCTCACCCTGCCAAGTTGAGCAGAGAGAAGTTCCTGAGGTACTGGCACAAGGCCAAGGATGATTTCAGAGCCAATCCAGAATTTGTTGCCGCACATCACAAGCTCCCCAAGGAAATGTCGAAAGTCCTAGCAACCAAAACGTGGGACACCATTTCTGAACAACAATTGATTGTTTCTGCAGCATCATGGTCCTTCCTGCGCTACTATTCGCAGAACAACTTGAGCACGCAGAACGTGAAATTGAAGGCCTGGGGTGAATCAGCAAAGTAGCGGTCTGTGATTGAATAGCTCTGTTCTAAGAACAACATGTTCCTGAGGACGGCTTGTGGGCTGTGTTTGCCCAGTTTGGGCAAATCATTACTTTGCGCAATGTGGAAGAGACCTACATTGTTCTGGGATCCTTCAAATGGGCAGTGTTGGCATGGCGGTTGTCCGAAGTTCATGAGGGCGGCAGGTGCTCGGGCTGGCAGTTGCAAGTGGAGGCCGGTTGCTCATGGCAGTTCCTTCACAACCCTGAGGAATGGGAAGCATGTGAAGCCACTCCGAAATTGTCAACACAGGCAGGACTCTATTTCAAAGCCACGTGTGGTTGGGAACCACTTGTGCAAAACACTTTGCGCTCCGGGCACAAAAGGACCTTTGCGGAGTTGACATTGATGGCGGACTACTTGAATGTGACACAACCCCACAAGAATTCCAAGAAGGAGTTGTTGAAACAGTGTCAGGAGTGTTTCGGAGAAGAGTTTGCAGAAGCTTGCCGTGAAGCTGCAGAGTCAGACACTCAGAAGGCTCCTGATGCAGATATGCCTGATGGTTTTCTATCAGCATTGTTGGACAACATGGAGCCCTCAGATAAACAGGATTTCCAGGACTTGGAGAAAGCCCTGATGCGACAGGAACAGCAGGCCGAGCAACAACGTTGGCAAAACATGTGGGATGAGAAGGTTGCAGAACAAAAGGCACCCTGGCAAGACCTTCCAGTGAGTTTCTGAGCTAGGCTTAGACTCAATTGTTGTGATTCAAATGTGACTCAATTGTGACTCAATTGTGATTCGATTGCAGGCCAAAAGAGCGAGGAGAGCTGTGGCAAAAGCCAAAGCAAAGTCAAAACCGTGTGCCAAAGCAAAATGCAAAGGCAAGGGCAAAGGAAAAGGCAAAGGCCGTGGAAAAGGCAATGGGTTTGGAAGAGGCACAGCTTTGGGCTTGCAAGGGCTGGCTCGCAGGCAAGCAGCGTCACGAAAACGCAAGGAGCAGGTGCTCGAACAAATGCCCGGACCAGCAGTGGAAGAAGATCCAGATATCTCTGAACTCAAAGAGGAGTTGGAAAGCCAGCTGTTGGACATGAATGTCATGGACGATCGAACAACTCCTGATTCATTGCCGGCAGAGCCTTGTGTCCATGCTCCCAGTCCAAGAGAGCCCGCCCCCTCACCGGAGCCTTGCGCCCATCCTCCCAGTCCACACACTGGTGAAGGAGAGCCCGCCCCCCCGGCGGAGGAGCCCTGTGTCGATGCTTCCCGTCCACACTCTGTGCTTGGTGGTGCCGGGGTCGCACACGAGGAAACAAAAGTGCAAGCACAGCCATCCAATGGGACCTTGCCGGATCCAATATCCGGGCCAAGGGACAGTGGAATGGCACAGGCCTCGTCCTCGAGCGGATCAGCCCCTGAGCAGGTCCTTGATGATGCTGCACATCGTGGCCAGGCATCGCAACGTGCTCCGCGCGAGCATGGTCCACACTTGAATAACACTCCCGACTTCCTGTCGGAGTTGGATCCACCCGAAGACTTCAAGTTGCGTCTCAGCTTCAACGATCATCGCTTCAAAGCCGAGATCATGACAAAACAGTATGTGTCAAGTGAGGGGAAAAAGTCTTGCAGCAAAAGCTTTGCTAACGACAGATCAGACTGGAAGCAAGCACTGGCTCAAGTGCATCGCTGGGCATGGACAGAGTGGGAGAAGGCCAAACCCGAAAGGCAACTGCCGCCTCATTGTCAGCCTGGTACTATCCCTGAGGCTGTCCTGGAACGCCTTGCCCCGATTATCGACGCAATGCCTTCGCCTACAAAGTATGCCAAGTAGCCTCTTCAGTTTTTTTGTGATAAATACATCACAGGGGAAAACATGTCAGCAGGTAGCAGATTGCTGTCAATGTCATGTATGCAAGTATCGTGTTCTTAGCTTCAAGTCTTCGGTCGATTCAAGAAGTCACAGGGAGTGAGTTCATCCAGCCGAGTCCAATGTGTGTGAATCTGCTCCTGCTGTCATAGCGGCAACATGTTCGATTCACAATTTTGGCTTCAGCTTGTGCGCAGTTGCTGTTCATTCTGTGATTGAGTCTTTACAGTTACGTTGCAATTACAGTTGCTGAATGCCTGAAGTGTGCAATTGAAGATGACATGACATGAATCATGAAGTCTCACCATAGTTATGCTGCAGATTGCTCGGGGAGAAAGCGATCAGCAAAAACAAGCCTTCCTGACATTGTGTCCTGTTAGTTTGTGGAATGTGCTTGATATGCCAGGCAAGCATTGAATCCATTTGTTGCTCAAGTTGGACCAGAGGTATGGTTTAAAGTTATGTGGGACAACAAATCAATGTATTGATGTCAGTGAATCACCAACATGTCCAATTTCCAGTGGCCGTGCCAGCATGTGCTGGGATCATCGCTGGTCTTCAGTGGTAGTGCTGGGCCTGTGAAGCCAGCACGCAAGAAATGCAAAAGGAAAAAGAATGCTGCAGAGTCATTTGAGTTGGGAGGTAGATCAGTGGAGCGCCCGTGTACTCTTCCTGCCTTGAATTTTACCGATACAGTTACAGGAACTGATGAAATTGATGATCGGTTTGACACTTGGGTAGAGGACGTCTTCGAGCAAACATCGCGATTGCAATGTTCGCATTTCCTTCCGTTTGCTTCCTTGTCTTTCTCCCCAAGGCCGGAGTCTGTTCAAAGTGTTATGGGTCACAGATTTTGTTATAATTTGAATTTTTCATTAATTAATGTAATACTACATAAACTTATCATCATCCTCAATTGATCTTGCTGGCCAGGTCCACAGAGCCTTGGTGTCACAGGCTCATGGTTGCAAGGATTTTGGTGCAAAATTTCTTGCGCTACGACCAGGACTTCAATGTGGGCAGAGTGGCCATGAAATGGCATGGGCTGATTGGATTGGCTTATCCCGCATTGAAGAACCGAACCATCGAGTGTCAGCTGATGTGCATCATTAGCCGTAGCTATGACAACAGAGCCAAGATTGAAGCAGCTTCAATCGATGTGGGACCCCATCAATGTGCGGGGTTGCTGCAATACATTGAATACTATGCAGGGAGCGCCAAACTTTCGAAGAAATTGATCGAATCCGGTCTCCGTGGGTGCAGCTTTGACATACTCTACAATGACGAACACAACATGTTGCTAGCGAAAGGGTTGCGTTTGTTTCTGGATGCAGCCACAGCGTGTGAGAAGAAGGCTTTGCATTGGTGGGGCACTCCGTGCTCTTCTTTTGTCATTATGTGCTCATTTCGTTCCCAACGTGCTGAAAGCAACGGCTGGGAAGGCGCATGGACTGAGCGGGACTTTGTATTGCAGGGAAATTGTCAGGCCCTTGTTTGCTCACTTGGGATTTTCCTGGGATGGGCATGTGAGTGCTGCCCTGTGGTGGAACAGCCCCTCAGCTCCTGTATGCCGCACCTCGAGTGTGTCAAAACAGTTCTATCCTTTTGTGGCTTCGAAAAGACTTGCACCTACATGGGTGCCTTTAACGGAAAGTCAGTGAAGCCCTTGCAACTGTGGCATTTGCCTGGGTTTCATTTTGAGAACCTGGCCAGGCCCAAACCAGATCATAATGCTTTCATTGGTCTGGTAAACCGAGGCGAAGACGGCCGTTTCACCGGTGTGCCAGCAGATGTACAGGCTAGTGGGGAATACACTTCGATGTTCGGGGAAGCAGTTGCGCAGATTGTCCGGAATCTATTGTGACGATCCGCTTCGTCAGCCAAAATACGTTTCATAGCTTACTGAGCTGCATGCTTTTTATTATTCAAGCCAATCTGCTGTGACTGGTTTTTGGGGTGTGAATGCTGTGACACAACAGCAACAGCAGGCCATGCAGCAACACAGGTAAAACAGTGCGATGACTGATGAGAAGGTTGCATAACAATTGAGACACAAGTCTGATTTGCTTGCAGCCTTATGTCGATGTGGCTGTCTCAGTGAACACACTTGGAGGAACAGAATTGATATGGCTCTTTCAGTGAATGAGTATGCGCCGGCAAATCAGGGCCTTGGACGTCGTTCTTGCCTTCTTTGCCCCACTTGAGGAGGATTCCTCAAGATTTCCTCAATTCGAATCGTCAACCTTGCCAAGCAATGCCATGCTGACTCAAGATTTCCTCAACCTTGCAGCAACCTGTTTAAGTTGACAGGTTGTTCTGAGCAGTGTGAGGAAACAATAGATGCCATCCACTGTGACCTTGCCCGATGTGCCCATGTCGGTGCAAGGGGTCAGTGGCATGGCACAAGTGAACACACTTGAGGAACAATTTCTTGTTGACAATTTGGGAGTCACACCTTTGCAGCTTCTGCCGGCTCTTGCACAGACGTCCTCAGCCTTGCGAAAACCTGTTGGTGTTGCCGGGCTCTCACCCGAAGAGCCATCAAGTTTCCTTGCTTGGGGACACAAAGGCCAGCCATCTAGTGTGACCTTGCCCGACGTGCCAATGTCGGTGCAAGGAGTCACTGGAATGGCACAGCTTCCGGTTGCTCTGTTCACACACCGGCTTGGACAGAAATAATACTACATTTTTTCATGGTTTTCTCAACAATTTTCAGTGTCTGCAAATCTCCAGTTACATTAATTCTGGACAAACCTACCGTGTCGTAACGTATCCAATAAGTCTTTGTTCAGGTTGACTTCTGATTTTGATAACTTTGGTTTTTGCCAAGCCCACTGATCCAGCCCCCGCGGATCCAACCCTACAAACGAGCATATTGATTTGTATGGCCCTGCAAGGTCAAGTGCCAGCGAGTAAAGTTGGGGATGCTTCCGTCGTCGATGTTGATAGCCTGTTGCCTGAGCATTCAAGCACACCGAACAGTCGGCTCGATACGGCTGGTGATCTTGTAGTAGATGTTGTCGCCAAGCTTCACGTTGATCCTTGGTCAACTTACTCAACCTCGCTCCGCATTCTGCACTTTCCTCTTCACTGGCAACTCCTCCTGGAACGTAGTCCAGAATGGCATGGGAGACCAACTCCTTGAACTCAGTAGACCACCTTCTCATAGTAGCTCTTCCAAGTAGAGATGTAGGTACACATCCATCCCTTGCGTCAAACTCACCATCCAGCTCCACAAGCGAAGGGTATGTAGTTCCCAACGTAGTAGGTCTCAATGACTGGTGGCCAAAAGCTCCTTGGTAGAAGGTGGCGACGCCCATGCCCGAAACAGACTTGAAGGACTTCCACATCTCCGTTTTCCAGAAAGAAAGGAAATCACCATCTTGTTCCTGGGGTGTGAGTTCGTTTGGGTACTCAATGAGGAATCCCACATTTCTTCTGCCCTTGAGCATAGCCATTGTCCAGAGTAGAAGCTGTTTAGCTGCGCAGGCCGTCTCCTTTTCAAGGCGGTGCTGTTGTAGTACAGAAAGTTCGGGGACACCATTTGGAAAGTCCTTGGTCCTTAACCGGGTTGATCGTTGCTTCCGGTCCACCGTTGTGCTTGTAGTCCATGTGGTCTCCGGCGGGGAACCAATAATGTCAGCAATCCTTCCATTGGCAGCGGCCCATATCAAGAGCTTATACACCGAGGAGTTGCCGTTGAGGTCCCACAGCTTGGAGTCCTTGAGGTCCACATTGAGGGTCACCTTGCCACCTTTGCTCATAGTTTTGACGAAGGAATCTCCTTCTTGACCTTGTCCCATAAACAAACATACAACCCAATCCTTCGACGCCAGCAATGCCCTTCTCTTCTTCCTTCTCAAAGGTAGTTCCTTGAGATACTTGGCCCCGGCATCAACCTCGAAGTCCGTGACCATCATCGCTTGGACGTCTGAGGGAAGGTCCTTTGTAAACGGACACAGCATAATGGCCCTTTGAAGAACGCTTTGACATCCTCCTTCCATGTACTCCTTGAGGAGCTCATCCCAGGCCTTGGTCTCTTCTTTCTGCATCACCTCGAGCTTAGCAGTCAAGTTGGCAACCTGCGAATTCAACTGCGCCAGCTGGAAGGTTTCCAGTTCTTTAATGAGGCGGTTGGCTTCCTTGATAGACACCTCAGGACAGTTGTTTGCAATGTTGACCTTCACGTAGCCCCTTTCCGGGTGACGAAGTTTGAAGCTTCCCTTCTTCCACTGCAGAGTGCAACCCAAGTCCTGGACCAGCGCTCCCAATGGCACTATCGGTTGCGTAGACGTAGAAGAGGATTCAGGAACCAGGACAGTTCCTTGATGATTTTGCCGTAGTACACGTTCCTCTTCACCGGCCAACGTCACCTTGACGGGAAGTCCTCGGTCGTACTCCTCCTGGTCGGCAGTCCGCATCGCGTGGCTCGCCCCGCTGTCCAGTAGGCCTTTCATAGACTCATCACCTTCACCTTCACCACACACCCGGGCAGCCATTGTCTGAATTCGTTCCATCAATCCATCCTTTGCCACCGTAGCTCTCTTCAACGTCGTAGCACTCATCGCCTTCAGGATCTTGCCCACATCTGCCAGAACTTCCTTCAAGTCCGTAGGGCCCACATTACTCGAAGTTCCCGAGCTCGTAGTCGCAGGCTCTTCAATCCGTACAGTCTTACTTGAGGTAGTAGATGATGTGCTCTGGGTCGTTGAAGGGTCCGGAGAGGCCTTAGGTGCGGGAGATGCCTTTGGAGTTCCTTGGGCGGTTGGTGATCCACCTTGCTTCTTGTTGATGCAGTCCTTCGCCATGTGTTTGCCTCCACATGCCAGGCACCTCGTTGCTTTTTCCGCTTCAAGACCTTCCCAACTGTGCTTGAACGGGCATTTGCCCGCCCTCGCGCAGCCCTTGTACGTGCGTCCAAAGTACTTGCACGGAACATCCTTCTTGCCAAGCTCGGGTTTGTCCTCAGTTGTGGTAGTGGACGTGGCTTGTTGCATAGCTGTCCTTGGTGGAGGGGTAGGCGGCCTTGAAGGAGTAGACTTTGGCTCTGGCTTCATTGGTTTTATCTTTGGTTCACCTTTGGGAACCGCAGGAGTTGAGGTAGTAGGCGACGGCAGCGAAGTCGTTGTCATAGTCGATGAAGATACTGCCAAAGCCTCACACTCAGCCATCAAGTGCTTGTAGTACGTGTCGATGGATTCGTATGAGGGCCGAGTGTCCACCTGTAGCGTAGATCGAATGAGGTTGGTGCGGAAGCCCATATCAGGATTCCTGTCCACTACCTTCTTCACCATCGCGCTCAAGCCCCGCGAGAGGATTGTTGGATCCGGAGTGGCCAAGCTGAGTTCTCGACATCGACGTAGCCATCGTTCCCAAGCCCGAAGTGACTCCACTGCCCTTTGGGGCTCCGACTCCTCAGGTGGGCTCTGAAGACTATTCAGGATCCTTGTTCGCTCAGCTTCACCTCCAGGTTGGTACAACGTCATCAACCTGAAAAGTAGAGATGCCGTCGATCCCGTCAGTCTCCTTGCCACCATTTCGGTCCTCACGCTCTCATGCAAAGCCAGCATTATCATCGAAGCAGCCCTGCTGTTTACCCTGCCCCAACGGCCATCCTCAAGAGACTCGTCCCTTTTGGAGCGATCGAGAGCTTCTCCATTGGCCCCGCATTGGACCACTCGGCATAGGACATTGTGGCCTTTTCCCGCACCAGTTTCCACCAAGTAGCTGACCCATCAGAGAGATCCGCCATCGGGGCGCCGAGCATCTCGATCCAATCTGCGATGTCAATCGAGCTGGTTTCTGCCCGCACCGGTGGCAACGTGGGGAGTGCTGTAACTCCTGGCTTCACTGTTTCTGGAGATTTGTCCTCACCCTTGTCCGTCCCTAGCTGTTTGATCATTGCCTGCTGCAGCTGAGCCATACCACCCGCAAGCAACGCCATCTGATCAGGCTGACTGCTCGAGCCTAGCCATTGTGACGCCGTGGATGCCCCAGTCGTCGCTCTTTGTTCCTGCGTACTCTGCGAAGACTGATGACGCCCTTGAGACTCAACTGGTGGAACACATTCCTGCTGCGGAGGCCTTGGTGGTAGGACTGGTGGTACCGGAACGCTAGAACCTTGAAGTAGATCACCTGGACCCTGTGCGCATAGATTTCCTGGGGGCTGAACGGGTAGATTTCCTGGAGGCTGAACAGGTAGATTTCCTGGAGGCTGAACAGGTAGATTTCCGTGCGGCTGAACAGGTAGATTTCCTGGAGGCTGAACAGGTAGATTTCCTTGCGGCTGAACAGGTAGATTTCCTGGAGGCTGAACAGGTAGATTTCCTGGAGGCTGAACAGGTAGATTTCCTTGCGGCTGAACAGGTAGATTTCCTGGAGGCTGAACAGGTAGATTTCCTGGAGGCTGAACAGGTAGATTTCCGTGCGGCTGAACAGGTAGATTTCCTTGAGGCTGAACAGGTAGATTTCCTGGAGGCTGAACAGGTAGATTTCCTGGAGGCTGAACAGGTAGATTTCCTATCACGCTCGTAGCTCCCCGTTGTTGGTTCCACTCGCTTCTCTCACGCCTCAACTGCTCCACTTCTTGCTGCAAGCCTCGCACTTGGTCCTGGTACCGCAAAGCATATTCCTCCATCTGTCGCTGAACCTCCGCTTGGAGGCGAGAAGAGTTCTCGCTCCCAACCTCTGACGTCTGTCCATACAGCAACGGGTGGTCTCTTCTCGCTTGACGAAGTCGTTCTATCTGCTCCCGAGTGAACAGCGATTGCTGCTCTCTCCCTTCCGGCCCTGACCACGAAGGAGGTACTGGAGGTGCCCTCGGTGGAGTTCGACCACTAGGAAGTTCCTGAGGAGGAGACGTTTCCATAGTAGTCATTGTTGATCTCGCGAACTCCCTTCCTCCCGCTTGTCCACCGAAAGAACTCGTAACATGTACATGTTGAAGACCCAAGTTGTCAAGCATGCGATCCACACCTGTCACACTTCTACTCGCAGTAGTCCTCAAGAACTCCGTAACCCTTGAAAACCATCTCACACTCTGGTGCTGCTCTGGACTCACCGAAGACCTTGACTCAGCGGAGAAGTATTCCTGACGATGAACAGCTGAGCCAACCGGTGATCCCTCATTTATCGCATGTGTCCTTACAGGCACCGACGGCATTGGAGCTGGAGGTAGAAGAGCCTGAACATCACCAGGATTCGCACCTAAGTCATAAGGCGGATGAACTTCTTCCTGGGCAAGACGTTCGGTAGCGGCACTCGTTCCTTCAGGAGGTTGAGCAGGCTCAGGAAGAGGTAGGTCACTTACGTTCGGGTTTTCCCTCACACTGTTTCCAACTTCCCTCCTTTCACCCAATTGCTGCTCTCCCGGAACGACACCATTCACTATCGGCTGGTTTACATCCATTGCTCCATATCTCACTGTGTTCACATTGCCCGCGGAGCTTGCGCCGTGGTTTTGGGCGTCCATAACCTGTAGAACTTATAGATCTCGAATTTGGGGAAGGCGACCTCTAACTCGGCAGAGATTTATGCTGTCGATGACAGCACTCAACCATGCAGCGAGGCGCACTTCAAACCTTTTGCTCTAGGCACAAGAAGATCTCAGTCTGCAATCCTTGAATTGTACACTGTGCTGGATGCATCGTAAGCTGTGCCATGTATGCCCGTTTGAGCACTTCACAGATCAAAAACAAACATTCGGCATGAGTGCGAAAGGGGAGGCCAGGACATAACTGAAACAGCATCCCTAGCCTTCTATCCTTCTGCAACTGTACATACCCCCCTCTCATCCTTCAAAGCCCAGACACCGTCCAAGCAACGGCGCCAACCAAACCAGCCGTGGACACCAAGCCTTGGAGAACTGACTAATGCAAGGGCCTTAATAAGTAGAATAGGGCTTCGGGGTTATATTATACTATACTTATAATGAGGAACCCCCAAAAGAGTATTGGTAATTGGTAATTAATTGTTTCGGCCCCCATATTACTACTTCAAAACCCAGACCCTCTGAAGCATCTGACGCATAAGTGAAGTACGTGGCTGAAGGCAAGCCTTGTTTAGGAATTTTATGCTTGGACCCGTTCAGCGGTTATCAGCGCAAGTTCTGGATGAGAGAAGACTTCTGTGGTTAGTGTCTTGGGTGCAGAGTTTTGTTCATGTGGGCCTATTCGCTGCCTGCACACACTTCTTCCTTGAAGACAGGACCATCTGGCCAACCCAGATCATTGCCAACATAGATCCGCGGAGAGCATGAGTACCCGGAAGGGTCTTGCACTCCAGGAATTGGGCTCAAAGCTCAAGGTGTGTGTCACTACTCTGGGTGATGCGGAAAGCCGTGGTGCTGATGTTCTTACGGCTGAAACAAGCTGCCAATTATCATTATCTTCCTGCAGGTCCCTGCACCCTAAATCCCAAACCCTATCTTACACTCTAAATCCGAAACCCTATCTCACACTCTCAATCAGAAACCCTATCTTACTGCCAACCTCCAAGACAAGGGGTGAGAAGGAGATGAAACCCCCAAGACCCGTACCATCTCAAACCCCTTATATAGGAGGACGTAAAGGGATCCTATGAAGGGAACCTAAGAGGACTTAAAGGGATCTCTTAAAGGCAATTAGGGTTGAGGGTTTAAAGTTCAGGTAAATAGGAGTTTGCATCCAGGCCTATTCAAATTCTCTAGATTCCGACGTTGTAGCACACCTGACATGTTTGTCACCTGGCGACCCCGGTGGAGTTTAACTTCTTGAGGGCCTGAAATAATCCAAAGCACCGGCATCTGCGATCATTCCCATGACGCTGCGCGTCGAGAGCAAGCCTGTGCAAATGCTTCGGGTTTGGCTGGAGGGGCTGTGAAGCTTTGCAAAAGTTTAGAGCCCTGAACACTAACCAGACATGCTAGCCCAACCACCACCCTAAACCCTAAACCCAAAACCTTGATTAAACCCTAAACACACTCTATGGGCTGTGTAGGCCTCCGATGAGGCCAAGGTAAGCGCTCCCCTCGAAGACACCGTCAATGCGCAGCTGGTTCCTGTTGTACCTTAACCGACGGTTTAGGGTTTTGGGTTAGGGTTTAGGGTAACTTAACCGGAGTAGGGATTCACTGATTAGGGTTTCGGATTTAGGGTGTTGGGGGGTTTCGACTTTTGGATTACTATCATATGCTGCTATATAGGATCAGGCGTTTGTAGGGTTGACGGTGGATCTGGTGTTGAGGTTTACCAAAGGAAGTACCTGCATGGGCACGGGGAAGAAAAGGGTTCATAGTCAGCCGTGGGATGTGATCATCTTACCCCAAGAACCCCCGGAACCCGAAAACACTAAAAAGGGCTTCGGCGCCACTGCCTGGAGCTTGAGGCTTGATTAAGTTGCAGTCGTACGGGTATAGTATTTGCAATATCCTTCATACTCAAGAGCCCTAAGGACTAGTAGTAGGAGTACTAAATATCTGGTCTGCGACATCTAGAGGGTCTGGGTACCGATACTGAAGAATTCCAAAAGAGTAGGAGCTCCTTTTACTTCCCATCCCATCCCCACGGCAAACCTCAGAATCACGGAAGTCAGAAAAGATCACCAACATCTCGTCCCAAACGCTTAATCCACCCGAAACTCCTAAAGCCGGAAGTTCGACTGCATCAGGCGACCGGCACCGATACGCGCGGTCGTAGATGTCCTCGTGATTCAAGCTTCGAGCTTTGCCGTTCCACATCAAATACCTGGGCCCAAAGTGTGCAACGAGGATGCTTGTGGGTGCTCTCTCTCAGAAGGGCCCGTGCAAAAACCTTGGGGCTTCACTTCAGTTCTGAAGAAGCTATCAAGACCGCTCTGATAAGATGCTTGCTACGGTGGAAAATCAAGTGAATCAACCGTTTCCAGACAGTGTCTGCCATCTGCAATCTGCAGCCTATTCAGAAACATGACAGCAAAGCGGGTGCTTCTCAGCAAGAACGTGTCAAAGAGGAATGCGCCTGAGCAGTTAGAAGGGCATGCTTTTAGTAAAACGGCAACAGAGAATAATTCTTGCAAAGAGATAGCTTTGCCCACACGATCCGCACACTTCCGGGACCGTAAGAATTTGGATATCCGGGAGTTCAATCAGCCCAAAGAGTTCTCCGTCTGCCGTGGCTGAAGTGCGGCTGCCGGTTGCCACGCTACAGACCACGGTGTGGGTTACGCATTCATGCCGAGATTCCCGCGATCCCTGCACGAAATCATGCCAGAACAGTGGGCAAGTGTCAAATGCGCCGGAGTCTGGCTAGTTCGAGTCAAGCAGGCTTCAAAGCTTGAAGTTCACCAACCTGAATCCAGCTTGTCACCAAGATTTCAGGTGCAACCCGGGCATGTCTCTCGAATCCAAAAAGCCCTAATCCCTATCCCAAATGGCGACACCGAGAGATCACGCAACCTTTCGGAACAGCCCGTTGCGTCACCCGACACTGGACAAAGCTAAAGCCGACCCACAGCCGAAAGCTATATGGGTGGTCGTCCACTTTTTGGGTACCCTAAATATAATGTGCCGTACTATATCAGGGACCCCAACAAGGGAACATAATTTTGACAACCACCCTAATTTAGTACCCTAAATAGTACGAGCCCTATCGTAAGGACCCCCAAATAAGGTAGCCCCCATTTTCGGAAACTCCCATATACACTCTTATAGTAGCCCTTATAGTAACCCTTATAGTACCCTTATAGTAACCCTTTAAAGGAAAGGATCCGAGAGCTTTGGACTGAGAGCCCTTCCCTGAACAGCCAAGCTGCCACAAGCCTGACCACGTATCCTGCAGTCCTTTAAAGGGTTACTACGGTTACTATAAGGGTACTAGGGTTACTATAAGGGCTACGCCAAGAGGTGTATATGGAGGCTTCCGAAAGATAGGGGTACCTTATTTTGGGGTGCTTATAATAAGGATCTGACTATTTAGGGTGCTATATTGGGGCCCCCCTCATAAGTTTAGAGCTACCGAAACCCCCGCAAAAGCAGGTGAGATAATGGCCCAATACCAATAAAAGGCTATTGTTCTACAGACTTTGGGGGTCCAGGTAGGCTTTTGTGATTGGGGGTTTTGGGGACTCATAAGTCGCTTCAGGTCACCCCACGGGCCCCGCGCCGAGGAGGCCACCTGGGATGCTCAGGACGGTGGGCCAAGGGTAAGGCTCCAACCCGGGGCCCTGAAGCCCTTTCTTTTGAGTCACTGGCTGGGGCCGGACGTCTGAAGAAGAAGCATCGGATTGACGCAGAAGGCTGAAGGAAGCCGAAGTTGAAAGAAGGGAATCCGAAAGAGAGTGCAGCAAGACTCGGATTTCAAGCCTGCAACACCGATAATTCGATCGTCAGGGACAACGACGCCTTGAAACCTAAAACTCTTGGGGCGCTTCTTTTTCAACTGGGCAGGGGGAACCCAAACACTACACCCAATCCTTAAACCTGAACCCTAAACCCTGAACCCTACACCCAATACAAACCCTAGCGCTCGACCCCAAAGGCCCCGACAAACCTTAAAAGCCCTCAACATCCACAAGACCGAGACATCAACAACAAAATAGGCCGTAATGGTCTAAGGTTTTGGGTTTAGGGCATCCAAACTAGAGCAAAATCAAATCAGCCAGGCAATGATTAAACCTGCAGTGGCACGTTTTCACATTTCAGTTTCACCCCAAACATCAGCTTTTTTGGGGGATACTCCCAGACGATGACTTCTTGTGTTATCTCCCAGCCGAGACTCCAAATACTACCTTTGTCCGAACGATACTTCTAACCCCGAATAAACCCTGCTGATACTTCACGGCCAAGATACCGAGAAAGGCACATTGTCCAGCCCGACGGATCGGCGTGGGCGACCGCCTGGCTACAGTGTTCAGGACGAATAAGATGGGTTTAGGGTGTAGTGAAGGCAGCCTTCATGACTCAAAAGTCAAAAGTCTTGCGCGTTGGGAGGTGTAAGGGTTAACGGCTCTCGTTCTGTCAAGTGTAATAACCTTTAGTGGCTTGGGTTTTGTTCAGGCCTGTTTTTCCCGGGGTACCGTAACCAGGAGCACTCGACTGGACTTCATGGCGGCTATAGGGTCACCACGCGTTCTCCTCCCTATGAATGATTATTACGTATGTAGGACCATTGCTTTCAGGGTGCCTGCTTTCTTGCGCCCAACCCTTGAACCCCATGATGCATGGCCATTGCTTGCAAGCTGAGAAGACTGCTGCCAGCCTGAAGAGAAAAGCCCCGGCGCCCAAGCCCAGGAATGCGAGAGCTTCTGCGCACCTTGGGACCAGGGCTGAAGCGTTCAAGCCTGCCAGTGCCCCCCTCCCCCCACCCACATTCTACAATTCAGTGTTGGGAGATGCTGATTTCTGGGATGCCTCAGTTCTAACCTTACACTCTGACTCTGATCTGCCTTCGAGTGCAGAGGATGTGCGGAAGTCAAACATCTCGGGCGGACAAGGCCTAGGCATATATCTTTGTAACACTTCGAGGCTCAAGGTTTAGGAGTACCAGTTTCAAGGAAAAAGAACCCTGCAGCCCGAAAGCTTTGAGGCGAGATGCTTGAAGCTAACATGTATCTGCATCTCGTTCCAAGGGTTCGGGATGTCACGCATCTCCTCAGCTTCTACCAGAACGAGAAGATTCCCAGAGAGCCAGAATACCCCTTAAGCGCATCATAAACCTATCTACGTCTGTCTATCTAACTAGCTACTGGTCCATCTATCCATCTACTCTATCTATATGTCTAATCTACCTCTATCTATCTGTCTAATTACCATCTACATACCCACCTAACTATCTCTTTGTCTATTTTTCTCATTGTTGCTTTCTCTCGCTCTCTCTCTCTCTCTCTCTCTCTGCTTCTACCTGTCTATCATCTATTTATCTACCCCTACATACAGTAAAATATTGGCAATCCGACCTTGGCCACTACGATCACGGTAGCCATCACTGCTTTCTGTTACATACTTTCTGTTACATAGACCATGAGTCATGAGATATAGGCAGCCTTCGTTAAGTGGAAACGGGCTGGGAACTCTATTTAGATCCTCAGAAAACTGCGCCCTTGCATCGCGAGCGATCGGTCTCAACTATGACCACTGAAGAATCAATCAACCCTAAACCCTAAACTCCAAACCCCTAAACCCTAAACCGCTAAACCCGAAAATGTGGGTTTCGGGTGTACTCTGAGATTCAGGATTGGAGCTCCAGGGTTTGCCAACTCAAGAACCACGAGCCTCAGGCTTAAGCCCTTTACCCTGACCCCTAAATGCACAAGTTGCTCCTGAAACTCTCGCTTTCTCTCTATCTCTCTCTCTCTCTCTCTCTCTCTCTCTCTCTCTGTCTTTTTCCATAGATAGCAGATAGATATATGTGCATCTCTCTCTCTCTCTCTGTAAATGAATAACAAATGAATAAATAAACAATTAAATAAATGAATAAATAAATAAATAAATATATATATATATATGCGCAAGCACTGAGCTGTGGAACCTTAAACCCTGAGCCCCTCAGACGAATAGTGTCTGCGACAAACCAGTTCTGTGTCGGTGCAGACGTTGGCTTGACGGTTTAGGGTTAAGTGGGTTCTGTTTCAAGCGAAGAACAAGACCCAATCGTACCCTAACCCTAGAATCCCTAAACCCTAAACCCCAGGAGGCTCCAAAGTGAAGAGCCCGGAGAAATCATGCTCGGTTCTCCTCGTCGGACAAGTTGACGTGGGCGACAGCGTTGCGCATGTAGGGCTTGTTGAGGCCCAAAGGCTCAGACACCTGAAAGGAGCTGCTCTGTTTCGGCTTTGAGAGCTCAAAGGACTCCTTTTCCCCGGCCTTGGTGATTGGGGCTTTAAGGGTTTAGGGCTTTATGGGCTTGGGGATAAATTTCATAAGGTCTTAGGTCTGAACCTCCGGGGCTTTAGGCCTTATTCGGGTTCCGGGTTCGAGGCTTGGGGGATCCAAGGTTTAGGGATCCAAGTTCAGGGGCTACGACTGGGGCAAAGCTTTAGGCTTTTAGGGTTCAGGGTTTTGGGTTTGCAGCACAAAGCATGAAGACGAAGCAGCGACCTGTGCGTAAGTAATCTCTGCGTGTCTGAAGGGTTTTCTATAGCTGCCCTTCCAGGACACCCTAGCCCTAACTATAGACTCACCATTTATATCCAGGGATTGTTACGTACTCTCGCTAACCATCCGAAAACATAAAGCCTGACCTCATGTAAGCCCCGCGTAGTGATACATATGGTGAGACCCTTACAGCCAGCTTGATATAACCCTAAACCATTGCTATATGGGTAGTTGTCAAAATTATGGTGCCTCTTTGGGTACCCTAACTATTAGGTGCCGTATTATATTCAAGACCCAGAAAGGGACCATCATTTTGACAACCACCCATATAGATGATGGGAAGAAGCTGTGCCGCTCCCCTTGCAGTCGAGAGGCCCGAGCAAAGAAGTCAGCAAGCTGCACAGCCATGGCGAGCAGCGACAGTCGAAGGGATCACAAAAACAGAGGGAAGCGACACGAACAGCAGCAAAAACAACGAAGACGTGCAAAATCCGCTCTCGGAAGCTGTCGATAGAATCCATATCCAACTTCTGCAATCGTGCGGGACGTCCTGACCCTTAATGCTTCCTGGTGTAACGAGAGAGCACAGTAAGTCGAGCCTTGACGTCTGCTAGCTTCGGCGAAAGCAATTTCAGGAGACAAGGCGCTGGTCGCGGGCTTACTTCAAGGCTCCTAGAATCATGAGGACCAGAAGTACAACTTCAAAACCATACTATGGACAACTATAGTCAAAACAGCAACACTGTCACATTAACACCAACAGGAATGAATAATTACTTTGCTTTGTACTGTTGCCTGGGACTTAGGACTCTTTGAGTTGGGATTTGGGGTTGGCAGTTCCTTGAAGCCGGTTAAATTTTATCAACAGCTTTGACAGGCGAGCGCGAGGAATGGAGAGTTCCAGACAGTTCCCGGGTGTAGGGATATGTGAAGACAGCAATATGGGTGGTTGTCAAAATTAATGTCCCTTCTTGGGTACCCTAAATAGTAGGTGCCGTATCATATAAAGGATCCAAAATGGGATCCTAATTTTGACAACCCTCAAGGAACACTGAAAACGAGTCTGGAGCTGAAAGATTACTCCTGCAGGCCCAGACTGCATGCTGTGACGCCGTTCTTCAGCCGCTGCTGTCAGGTCAGCACTTGCCCTGGGTCAGTGGAGTCTTCTTGGTCCTCCTGAGACTTCTTGGCGATTTTGTGTGAAGGCCGCAGGTTGGGTTTAGGTTTCTGGAGGGTTTGAGGATAGATTAGGGTTTTGAGCTCGTCTTCTTGAGGCTAGTTACTTAGTTTAGGTTTGCAAGATGGCGAGTTGAAGAGTTCATGCCGTTGGGCTGCAAGGTGTAGCTGAAATTAGGTGCAAACTATATGTCTTGCGGGACGAGCGCCGCAACGAACTGGCTACAGCGGCTACACAGTTCTTAGTAAGTCTTACATAAGTCCACATGTTGGCTGCAGCCAGGATTTAGGGCGACCGCGCTGCAAGCCTGGGAGGGTTTACGCTTTTACTGCTTAGACTGGACGGTGTTGTACAGCGCTGGTTGGAATTATAGAATTATACAGTCCGCACATTGTATGTCTTTCCTATACATGCAGCTAACAGCAAGCAACGCACCGGCCCAAAGCAACAAAAGGAACCGAACCCCAGGAACCTGCAGCGCGAAGTATCTTCACGCAACCAGTTTTGCCTAGTCTTGAAAGCCCAGGAAACGGTATGGTAGGTTGCTGAGGACTTTATTTCTTGTACACAGCTTAATTAACAAACAGGATCCTAAACACTATTTAGATCCCCAGGCTTTCAATTTCCTCAAAAGAACTGGACCTCGGATCCTCGTGTGTCCAGAATTACTTCGCCAAGCTCGAGGATCGCATCAACAGCCCAAACCGACATCCGAGATTTCGTGCCCAGAAGACCTATCAACACAAATCCGTGCTAAGCTCGACTGTGTCGGTATTCATGATTGTGATCAATACTGCGGGTGGTGGTGGTGTTGGTGGTGGTGGTGGCGGTGGTGACGGGGGTGGTGGTGCTTAATTACGGTGCTGGTCGTGCTCTAAACCCTTTTACACCCTTAACTCCTGACCCAATCTCCAAAAAAGCTCGTGAACTGGCCTCCTCAGCCAGATTCAGGTCGACCTGCTCGTACAGGAAGCTCGCCACGCTGTACGCGCTCAGCGCGATGCTGAAGAGTTGCGTGAATCCCTGGCCCGGGGTCAGAACCTGAGAGTCGCTTAGGGTTCCCTTAAAATGGATCCTATAGGGGTTACTATAAGGGGTATTATGGGGGGCTTGATGTCGGGGCCTGAAAAATTAGAACAGGGTTTTAGAGCCCATTGTACTATAATAATGAGGAACCCCCAAAATAGTATAGGTATTCAATTAGAACAAGGCTTTAGGGTATACTAGGAGCCACCCAAAGTAGCGTGCATAATTAATTATTAAGTTAAGCCCCTATATCATGGACTTTTAGGGCTTTGCTTGGCCATCGGGATTGCAATCGCTTTTTTTGGATGTCGGAGTTTATTTACTGAGCTCGGGTGCCTTTCAGGATCCTCGCGGGCCCAAGAAAGCAAAAATTTAGGGATTTGCTAAGCCACGTGGGTTCGCGATTTGGACGGCGTCCAGCCGGGACCGGTGACAAGTTCTCGCATCTGGGAGAAAATTCAACTCAAACAATAAACCCTGAACTAACTCAACAAGACTTGAACCTAAATCCATATATAATTCCACAAATTACCCTAGAAAGGTTGCTGGTGACGGAGCCGCGGAGCACAGTAGTTGAAGGAGTAGGAGGTCAAAGCCAGGCTCAAGACTCCCTCGAAACCCTTCCTCGTGCGCTGCTTGTCTTTGCAGGTTGCAGGTGCTTATAGAGATTTGTCGACGAGGATATGTATTTCTGCGCCATTGGTATGGGGTGCGAACTGCTTTAGCAAGGTCTTCATAGGATTTGGGGGTTTAGAAGTTTTGAGGCTTTTGGTTCAGCTTTCCGCGATCAGCTTCGCCGCCTCCACTGGCGACGCAGTGATGTAAACCTATCCCTAGGGCTCCAATTTCTGAAATAGTAGGTTGCTATTTAACCATGTAATATTTAATCCAGTAGCCCATTATTTGGGCAACTGAATTGCTGACCCTAAACCCTGAACTCCTAAACCCCAACCCTAAACCCTTAAACCTTAGGCTTTAAACCACTAAACCTCGAAACCCGTTATAAACCCTATCAGAATACCGGACTTTAGGGTTCTACCACCCTGAACTAGGTCGAGGCGTCTCTTCGTTGAGGAGGTTCAGCAGGTCGTTGCGCATGATGCCTCGATCTCATAAAGCTTTAAAGGCTTAATGTAGTGGCCTTAATCATTAGAAAAAATGAAGCTCCTATATGAGTCAGAGGTGACCATTGCCAGTTTGGGTATATGGCACCATCCGCCGAAATCTAAGATACACGATATGAAAAATCCTATTCACACTCCAGAACCCCAATACCCCTATGTATCCAAGTGCGATAGCCCAAAACGGGAATGGTCTTCTCATGTAATTTGGTTCAGTGTTTAGGGCTAAGGGTTAAATCAAAGCTTACTCTTCTCGGATTGTCTCATATGCTATAACTATGCTGTGAATATACGATGTAACCGCTTGTGTATTATTATTGCACTGTAGCTATGCTGGCTAGGTTGTTTAATCGATTAAGGCAAACTCATGTTTATTCCCAAGATCTCTAAGAATTTATTTAAGTCCCGAATAAATGTATCTCTGCAACTTGATGATAACCAAAATCGTTTATCTTACTACGAATATCATTTTCTTTACAATCATCCAATCAGCATATACCCTCCTGAGCCTTTCATACCATCTTTTTGACATGTGTTTTGAACAGAGTATGTCTAACCCAGTCGCAATCGGGAAAGTTATGCTTAATTGAACAAGTATGTAAGTTTATCTGCATCATATCCGTGTAGAACTTTACGTCTGATAGTTCCATCTATCAACTCTTCGTGGAATTGGCGTTTTTTACAGTCACGGCACCAATGATTCCCAAAAGAAGCAGCCAAAACCGAACACTTCAAATCCTAAACCCCAAGCCCAAGCTTTTGCTAAAGACTCAAACCTCTGCGTAAAGCCATCCACTACCTTCCTTACACCGTGAGGCTACATACTGCTTCAACTCCATGAGTGCATAAACCCAGCAGGCCGGGCCTCTTTCTAAAATCCGCTGAGCACCTTCACTCCTGTCGCCTAATGAACCCTACCCTAAGGCTCCTAAGAGGGTCATGGGATCTCTGGGGGAGGGGTTCGGCTTTGGGGGCTAGGGTTTGGGATCTCACTTCGAGGGTCCAGGAGCATTAGGGTAAACCCTAAACCCTACCTCCAAACCCAGCGACCGCCCTCCAGCCCGAAGCGGAGACACCCACACCCCTCGAGCAGCAAAGCCACCGGTTCCCTTCCCCCCGAAACTGGAACCCTAAACACTACCCAAGACCCTAAACCCTATAAACCTTATACACCTTATAAACCCAAAACCCAAAACATAAAAACAAATCGCCTCGGGTGACGCTCGCCGCGATCGCTTCGCGGATTTTCACCGGGCTGCCGTAAACAAGCTCCTCGAAAACTCCACAAGGCTTTCGGAGAGGTTTTACGTTCACCTACTACAAGCTGCTTGCTGCTTTTAACAAGTTACAAGGGTTTAGGGTTCCTTTGAGGGTTTAGGGCTTTGTTTTCAGAGTTAAGGATTTGGCGGTTTCAGGGGTTAGGTGTCGACAGGGTTTGGGGGTTGGGGGGTGGGCTTCGGGGCTTTGGGGTTCAAGGTTTAGGGTTTGTGGTGGGGTTGTAGGATTTGGCTCGGACGGACCTTTCTTCTTCAAGGAACCCAGAGCACCACCCCGTTCCTGAAAAACGGTCCGGAAGACAATCGCCGTCAGGGCCGACGCAAACCTGAGGGTCTTACAAGGGTCGCAATTAGGGTTTCATAGATGGGATTAGTAAGGGAATCATCCTTGTGAACAGGGCTCCTGTGATCAGCTCATCTTGTCTTCGGCATGTGAGGCTTTGTCGCGCCTTGTGGGCTAAGATGTATGTGTGCTTTCGTTCTTCGATCCCGATTGCTGAGGCCGAGCTTTGAAGAGAAATGATTTTGGGATTTCCGAAAACAAGGGACCCTCATATAGTACCCTAAATAGTAGGATCCTTATTACAAGGACCCCAAAATGAGGTACCCCTGACTTCCGGAAACTCCCATTTCATCTTGAAGCAAGAGCCTCCCTCCACCTTACTTGGGGTCCTCAACCTGCAAGTCATCTCGCAACAAAAAACGCAGCTTGTCCGCTACACCCTGCTGATCGAATGTTTAGGGTTCGGCTTAGGGTTATGGGGTTCATGGCCCCTGCATTTCTTAGAGAACCAAAACCAAAGTCCATGAAGGCCAAACCACAAACGGAGGATCCCTTCAGAAATGGGCTCCGACTTAGATACAGTAGAAGACAGAAAGTTTAGATACAGTAGAAGACAGAAAGTTGGAGCATCATAAGCCTCATGCCCTTGAAGTACAGTATAGACAATCCCAGCATGAATCATCCTAAGTTTACGCTGCAACTTTCTGGGGTTACCCCTTTACCAAAACAGGATCCACTCGGAGGGGCTTGAAGTTTCGCGAGGCGACCAGCGTGAAGATGGTGTTCATGTCCTCAGCACGCTTTTCCAGGGTGTCTATAATAGTACGGTTTCGACGCTCACAATAGTGCGGTTTAGGGTTTAGGGCTTAGGGTAATTATTACCTTACCTAGAGGCTCCATAGTAATTATAGTTCCTCTTGGGGGGCTCATATTTAGAATCCTGTTGGGGTAACCCCAAAAAAGGAACTACGATGCATCCTCCATACACTCCATGATACGTTCAAGGCCCTATACCAAGCCTTGATCATATGGTACGAAGACTTCAGGGCATTCGGCTGTGCCTACCACTACGCACCTGCAACGAAAAGGACCAGACACCACCATCGCCACATCAACACCACCAACAACAGTTCAACGTTACACCCAATCGCAAACGGCATGATGACGAGTCGAAGGGTCGGTTTAGCCTACAATGTGAGCCTGGCATTTCAATGTCATCCTCTACTCTCCAACTGTCTCCATTCGCAAGCAATGACGGATGAGGTTTGGTCCCACCCAATAAATACCCTCAACATCCCTCAACCCCAAACACCGAACCCTGAACCCCCAAACACGACGCCCCATAAATCTCAAACCGAACCTTTTTTTGGCTTGCCAGGCGCGAAAAGCATGTCCATGAGGTACAGGGACATCCTGTCCAAATTCGAAATATTACTGAGTGTATAAAGATCCTTACAAGCTTGACATGGGTAGTTCTCTACGTCAGGGCCCGGCACCCCTATGCAAAGGACCCTAAAAACGGCCCTACTTTGGGGAACTGCCCACATAGGGGATAGACAGACTCATGCAGTTGAAAGGCTTACAGGGGCGGTTGCGGAGGTTTAGGCTTCCGGAGACCTCCGCAACCTTTCCCCAAGAAGCCCAGAAACCTCTGTGGTGGGTTACTGGACTTTGCGTACTATACATAAGGCTTAAGAAGCAGTAAGCATATACAGGGCTTTTAAAACCCGACTTTGAAACAAGACTGGGATTCTCGGAGCTTTAATTTCCTTTCCCAAATATTCGCGGGGCTGGGCATACTGCATGAGCTCCACCAGAATTTCTAAAGGCCGTGAACTTAAAAGCGTCGCATTTGGGGTGCTACAAAATCTGAGGAAACGATGCTTGCGTAGCAGAAAGTGAGCGAGTTTCCAGCCTGGCATAGGTGCTGTCCATGGACATGTTGCAGGCCTCCTGGGCATGTGGGAATTCAAAAAAAGAGAGACCCAGCAAAGAGACCGATCCCTTATTGTGGGGATGCCCATTCTTTGATGCATGTGCAGATTTCTCAGTTGCTGGAATTCGGTCGCCCCGAAACCCGCGAAAACCCTTGAGCCCATGAAACCTCCATCCGAAATCTTAAACCCAAACAATCAAAGGATGTAGACGATGATCGAGCCTTGGAAGAAATCCTGACCAAATTCCAAGCTACAGGGCTTGAAGGTTTCGGGGTTTGGAGACTGTGTTGATCTGGAATGGCTCTGGGCTGCATAGTACTGTTTCACTGTATGGGGTCTACACTGGCGCAGTTTTGACAAAACCCCTAAGGTCCAGCAGACTTACTTTTGACTTGCCCGACAAGCAACGTATAAAACATTAGTCATCATTCGATCGCGAGCATGGCTTAGCACACCCATCAACTGCCTCGGGTGCCACCTCAAGCGGCCAACCATCACCTCGGCAATGGCTAATCGGTCCGGAAGGTGCTGCTCAGGGCCTCAAGATACTTACTGTTGCAACTGCCCATAGCTGGAGGAGTGCGTCCTTAGAACTCCGGAAGAGTTCTGACTTTGCAGCCTCTATGGCCCGGTTGCTATGGAATGCGCTTCTTACAAAGCATCGCAAAGCAGACACATCATGATACTGCCATGGTTGATGGGCATACAGACCAGCACACACCGATGGCCCGAGCACTGCTTTTGTGGGCACAAGTTGCCCAGACGTACTTCTAAGTTCTTTCTGGAGTTGTGCTTTGTTGCGTCAATATGGCAACCAGAATACTCAGGAGTGCCTTAATGGAACTGCGCCATAAGGTGCCCCGAACCTTCATTGCTTCGATGCTCATTTTCGTTTTTTCTTAGGAGACGTCATTCTGGCTCTAGTAAACCCCGAAACCCTGAAACGTGTTGTGATGCACCTGTTTCGGCTAGAGGGGGGTTGGGTCCGTTCTGCTGTCGGGCCGGTGCAACCTTAGCTGCTGAGTCCGTCACAAGTGGAACAAAGAATGATCTATATCTCTATAACTGTAGTAATATGTATATACACTTCTATATTCACATAAACATATATATATATATATATTTATAGATAGATGTATCAGACACCTGATTAATAAATCCCCCTCCCCCTCATAGGGGTGTTGACACGGATCGGATCCTACCATTACGGCCCTCAAACACAGACGGCTTATTGATCAAGAAGGCCATATATACACTAACTCCCTATAGAACCCCCCAATGAAAGGAACCCGAATAGAACCCTGATAAAATCCTCTGAACACAGAAAGCCCTCACCTCTTGCTTGCTACCAGGGGGCTCTCGGGCTCCGATCGCAGAACCCTTCGTATCAGCTCCCGTTCCTCCTCTGGGGAAGTGGGCTCGTCGTCCTCTCACAAAAGCCAGGCAAAACCCGATCTAAGCAGTATCCAAGCTGCTAAATAATATGTCCACATTGTGGCTAACGGAAACGCAACTACACAGTATCGACGCCTTGCGCGACAAGTGTCTACGTTCCATTGCTAACATACCCACCACATGAGGAGCCATGCAAATTGGAGTCGCAAGGACCTCCAACGAAGCTGTACGAGCCAAAGTGAACGAAACCTTGCTTAGTGATGAAGTCGGGTTACACCAGCTTAAGTTATTGGGGCACATCTTGCGAAGGCCACAAGGCCACCCCGCCCGCAGTCTTTCGTTTGACCGCTTCCTAGAGCCACAAACGTGGGGGGAACCGTTCCGGTCGGGGAGAAGGCGACATAAGTGGACCGAAGAGGTGGTGCTTGCCTTGGCAATGACCATTTGTAAGACTTTTGTAGCGACCACTACTTGTTCGAAGGGCGCGTGAATCATAAGACGGTTCCCAACAAATCTTGTTTGAGGTGGCCTCGGATCGAACGGGGTGGTCTGAACTACTAGGTGTCGCTCAGCAAAGTTGGCGTCACCAACGGCATGTGACTAGCGCCCAAGGCAGTTACAAAAGCAAACGGCTTGGGGAGCGTCGTTGACTACTCACTACTACAACTGCCCCCGTGTTCTGGTGTGAGGTTTATGGCTGAGAGAAACAAGAACTGTCACGACAAGCACACCAGTAAAGTGGCAAAGCCCTGGCGGCCAAGAACAATCAGAAACATAACCGGCAATAGCAATAACAGCCAGTGCCACTAAAAACTCCCTGTAACCGTAGCATATGCTAGAAATTCAAATTGTTACACATTTTTGTTCAAATCGAAAACATGTAAGCCAAACACTCGGCAGATCGAATGCTGACCCTTTCATTTCTGACCCCTCGAGGCCCTAGAACCCTAGAGGTCTAACCTGGTGATCTTAATACAACTGCTCGTAGTGCCTGGAGAGCTCAAGACTCTTCACTCGTAGACTTTTGCGCTTCTAATTCAGTCTCTTGTTCTGATTCAAGATGTTCCTGAATTGTTTAAAACACTTGCCCTAGGCCCTACATAAAAATCCCTTCCGAACTCTTCGCAGATTGCTCAGTAAAGCCTCGGTCTCAACCGCGGCAGCTCTCGGCGCACCCCAAAACCCTAAACCCTACGAGGCCCCGAACCTAAAACCGTAAACCCAATAGTAATAGGCCTCATAAGCCCTGCAATTTCGACAGCCCACCCGAATTATCAAACAAAAACCAAGCCCTGGACTCGATGCCTCTGAAAGGGCGAACTGCTCTCGGGCAGTGTACATCAGCTGAAAGATGAGCGATGCCAGGTAGGCGGCCAAGAGGGCGCCGGTGACGAAGAGGAAGAACTTCATGATGAAATCAAGGTCCAGCCTTCTGCAGGGTTTCAGACTAGAGCTTGAAGATCTCTTGGTTCGGGCCCGTTTTTCCTCACCGTGGCTCGCGGAGATTCGAGTTTGGGGTTCAAAGTCTTGCCTTTGCCGTTTCTCTCTCTCTCTCTCTCACTCTCTCTGGCTCAGGAAGCACTGTCTACACCGCCTGCACTGGCCCGGCACCATCATGAGGCTTGAACTCTGAATAAGAACCTACTCGACTGTAGCTCAGAGGGGCATCGGTCCTTAGATCTTGCAGAGAGGCAGGGAACCCAGTATCCCAATTCTGAACCCCTCAACCCCACGTCAATCGTTAGAAGAGGATTTGGGGATACATTCTCTCTTTTTACTAAGGAGCCTGATTGAAATACGACTGGTAAATCTTCCAACCCCTACTTACCCTTAAACCCTGAACACTACGCCCCATCTCGCCAGTTCACCAGGCACTCTGACTGCTTCCCCACATGAGCTCCGGCAGCATGTGGGACATTCCTCCCTTGGACAGATCCTGCCTGCGCGAACGAAGACTTGCACGAAATACCGAGCCGGAGGTCCTACGACCAAGGCCCTAGCACCGTAACCTCCACGACCGAGGCCCAGTATTCCATCTGCCTGCAGAGGAAAGAAAGTTACTGAATGCAAACATTTACCGACTTGCTGGCCTTAGCCGGAACTCTATGACGAGTTCCATGCCATGGATGAATGGGTCCCCGGAGGTGGTAGGATAGCTGTTCAGGACCTCAGGTCAGAAACATAAAAATCCATGATTGAGAACTGCACTTGTTCCGGCCGTCTCGTAGAGTTGGTAGATCTTGTCTCCTGGCAATGTGGTGGATGACGTATTAAATTCATTACCGAACTGGCCTTCTCCCACATGCTGTAACAGGGCCAGCTCGCGACGATGAACCTGCTCGCACAAGCTTATTCCGTCGTCGGCTTGTGTCGTTCCCTAGCCTCCTCCGCGCAATCCCTGGACCACCACGCCGGGCACCTGAGTAGCAGTTAAAGCCGGGATTCGAACGTGAAGCACGATCAGGACCGAGGCAAAGACTCGAACTGAGGCTCGTCGCGAATAGTGGTGTAAGGGAAGAAGTAGAGCGGATCTCGCGTGGAAAAAAAAAGAAAAATTAAAAAGCGAGCTCACAGCTAAGGCAAATACTCAGACCGCGGCCCGGGTAGCCTGCCATATCGACCTGAAGCGATCAAGCATGAAAAAGACCGAGAGAACCGACTGCCGAGGACGAGACGAGGACAAAAAAGGATGCTAGTTCCGATGCAAAAACAAGCTGCTGCCGATCGCACATGTATGTAAAGACGTGACAGTCGCAGACTAAAAGATCGAGCCCAAAATATCTTAAAATCGGTTCCGTGGCGCTGAAAGGTGAGGACTCGACCCCAAAGGAAACGTTCAAAAACTGCATAACTCCCTAAACTCTGTTGTTTGACTCCGTATTGCGGCCGATGCATGTGACGGGAGAGAGCGTTCTCCCCTAAACCCTAAATTCCCAAACCCCGAACAACAACCCTAAAAAGACCTTTCTAGGTGTCGATTTCAACAGTCCCCAAAACCTGTTGTGATCAGGGCTCTCTATTCAGCACTATAGGGAAATTTCAAACAATCCCGAATCGATGGCTAGCTTATCAAAGGAACCCAAAGGAACCTACTGGGTAGTTATATATGGGGTTGTAAGTTTCCAAGTATGGGTTATAACTTAAGTATAGTTACTTAAAACCCAGTTACCACTATACCCATGAATCTCCAAGGGATATAAGTTCCAAAATATTTAGAATAGGTTCTCGGGGTATACTCTAATTACCATTGTTTTAACAAGGAACCCCAGAGTAACATTAGTATGCAGGCCCCTATAGTATAGCATAGATCCTCTCTGAACTGGGCCTCCTGAGGATCGCCGCAGTCGCACCCTGCGTGGCCGTGACGTTGAGATGCAGAGAGGAGAGGTCGTCCTTGCAGTGCAGTCGGTGGCGAGCAGCAGTGGGCTTTAGGGCCTTGCATTATTTCTGTCATCCGGTTTAGGGTTGAGGGTTAAGGCTTAGGGTGTTGAAGCTGTTATGTCATCCGGTTTAGGGTTCAGGGTTAGGGTTTAGTTTGGCAATGGCATGGGGGCGGTGGTGGTGGTTGACTTCAGGCACTATAGGGTCAGAACTGGACCTAAAACATCCCCAGCTGCACACTTCATAACTTTCCAGAACCGAAATTCCAACAGCAAACTCCTAGATCAAAAACCCTCATCTCCAGAACCCAACCCTAAATCCTATACCGTAGCTAGCGACAAGACACTACACGTTTTACAATCAATCAAAGAACTCCCCCTTCTCCTAGGATGACCAGAAGGTACCCTCAGAATCTATATACTCACTAGGCAAGCATCCCTTGAAGGTAGTCGTGCTGTCCAAATTATTCAAGTCTTATTGTTGGAATTCTTGTTTCCTTCTCTTAGAGGCTGAGTACCCAAGCCTGAAAAAGGTTACCCTTTTCCATTACGGTCGGATTCTATATACTGCCCAAAGATTACCTACTCAGCTACCAAGTTCTTGTGGGAGCTCAACTAACCAGTGGCTTTGCGGTTCCCTTGGCTCTTTAGCTCCGTACTTCATAGGGATTATCATCATCCCTGGCTCCTTAGCTCCTCCAGGGGTATCTTATTTTGGGGTCCTTATAATAAGGATCCTACTACTTAGGGTACTATATTGGGGTCCCCTAGTTTCGGAAACTCCCATGGTTAGTCAAGCAAGGAGCTCCTGTAGACCGGTGAGGTTCTGCCTGTCCACAGGAAGCTCTTCAAGTAGGGATTGCTGAGCCCACGCCGAGCTCCACTTCAACATGACTTGCCTGCATCTAGGGTTTTAAGCTGTTTTATGTTGAGATCTCTTTCATTGTCTGACGGGGCTTTCGGATTTTGAGGCCAAAGCTCTAGCCCACATATAGGGTTTAGTGGAGGAGACTTCCGACTTGCAGGATCAAGTCCAGCATAAGGTCTTAGGGTTTGCTTTGACTCAAAACATCTGGGGACGGTCTTAAGGCTGCCGTGCACGGCAAGGTGGCCAGATCCTGCTGAACATGCTCGTGTAACTATAGTTCTTTCGTGGCCAAGAGCCCAAACAACTGAACGCCTCATCGCCAACAAACAATACGGCCCGTAATTCCTGTAGCCTAAACCCCTAATGGGAGTTTCCGAAAATAGGGGCCCTAAGATAGTACCCTAAATAGTAGGATCCTTATTACAAGGACCCCAAAAATAAAGTACCCGAAGCTCCCAAATTTGCCCAGCTGCCCGAGGAGGGGGTTCATAGGAGCCCAGTTGCAGACCCAGAGCGCCAGTAGGGTTCCCAGTCGGACGAGGGCAATCAGGGCGCCACTGGGGCCCCGTACCTTGGAATATATCCAGGGGCCGCTAAAACGTGCGAAAAGCCCTCTAAAAACCAGTCTTAAAACCTGTGTCTGGATTTGTTGATAATCCCTTCCCCCCAAAATTAAACGGGGGTGAGCCCCACCCCCCAAATAGAAACTCGGAAAGAGATTTTTTGATTAGGGTGTATTTTATCTCTGCCGAAACTTTTGACGGGTCGTGCTCTTGCTCCTGATCTGGCTCTCCTGTTGCTCCCGCGTTTGCTCCTGCTCTTGCTCTTACTCCCGCTCTTGCTCTTGCTGCTGCTCTTGCTGATGGTCCCTCGCTCCTGCTCTGGCTCTATCTCCTGCTCTTGCTTTTGCTCTTGCTTTTGCTGTTGGTTTCGCTCTTGCGGTGCTCTGAGGGTACTTGGAGCCTCGAAACCCTCCCCCCTGATTCAGAGCAGGTTTTAAAGGGCAGGGATGATTTCGGGAGGATCCGCCCAATGAGTTTTCTAGGGGTGTTGATTTTTTGGGGACGGGATTAACCACTCGAAGATAAGGGGCTTTGATTTTGGTTCAGCGAGATTGCAACACCCGCATCCCCTTTCGATGAAAACGAACAACCCTAAACCCCTAAACCCCTAAACCCTAAACCCTAAACCCCTAAACCCTTAAACCCCTAAACCCTAAACCCTAAACCCCTAAACCCCTAAACCCCTAAACCCCTAAACCCTAAACCCCTAAACCGACTTCCCATCGAGTCACAGCGATGGCCAACGCAGGGCTACGGCTGAGCTTGGCTAAGGGCCACTGGAAGACGGCAGGGCCCAGGAAGGACACAAAGGTCACCGGTAGAAAGAAGACCCACCACTTCTGCAGCATCATCGTGCCGAAGACAAATACGACATTGCTGCAAACTTCGAGGAGCCGGTAGGATTTGAGCATGGCTCCCTGGACTTTCGGCTGAATCGCTTTGGCTACGATTAGCCGGGCTCCTTGGCGGAAGTCTTCCACAGCCATGGAGTGGGTGTCATGGAGAGGGCGGTAGACTACCCGATGCCACAGTGATTTGTCGATACCACCCTGGGCCGCCACGAGAGCAATCGCTGCAAGAATGCCGCCGCAAAGCGCGGCGTAGGTCTCCCAGCAAAGGGCGCTCTGCATGACCAGGCTAGAGACGCTCATCTGCTCCTCCCACCAGCCACGAAGCGTCTCATTCTTGATCTCCGTCCAGAGAGGAGCGCCGGTGTGGGGGTCTAAGGCCCAGGGGTCATGGAGGGGATGTGCCCTAAGGAGAGCATGGACCACCTCAGGATGGTCGAAAGACACAGCCAGGCTCAGTGAAGTCCACCCACTTGGGCTCTGGGCCTCCATCCGGGCACCATGCTCCAAAAGGGTCTCGACCACCTCAAACGACTTGTCGGGGGAGAGAGTTAGGCTGAGGCTTATAATAGTTGAGTCTGAGGACGAATTACTAGCTGTAAGGTGGACAACTGGAGAGACTATAGTGACTAGCACACCTAAAGCATGCTAAGAGCCAGCTTGACAAGCTGCCCCTTTCAAGCCATTGCATAAAACCTGCGCTACCCAACAATGGGAACTACCTCAGCACAACGAAGCTCAAGAAACCATCCCAGTGTGAGGACCACGAATTATCAAGCACCGCCGACTTTCCAAAGCACTTAGGAAATCACGGCAAAAGACCTGAATCCTTAAACATAAACCCTGAAACCCCAAACGCTGTAAACCCTAAGCCCTAGATCCCAAAATCCCTACGCCCTAAACCCGAACAACTCCAAGGCCCCAAAACCTCAACCCCTATACCACCCTATACCCGTATAAATCCTAAACTACTGAAATAAAAGGTGACTTCGGCCTGCGGATGGCCGAATCTGGCGGCCCACATCAGCGCTGTGAAGCCGTCGCCGTCCTCTTGCTCCAGCGGGGCCTCATTTACGCACTCAACTCGGACGAGCCAGACGAGGTCTCTTGGTTCGCAGAGGGTTTCGACTTTCGGGATGTTCGGGTTTCGGGCTTGGAGTTTGAGGATATCCTAGAAGCCGTGTGTAACCCACTATAGGGTACCGTCAGGTTCGCTTAGGTGTTGAGAAACATGACCTTCCTAGGTATAAGCCTAGGAAATCGGCACTTCAGGGGTATAGCCTTTAAGAAGCATGGAGATACCGATTTAGGGATGTGTGGTTACTGTAAGGGTGCTGGGGATTTGGAGTGTCAGTCTAAAACAGCGTCCAGGGTTTGGAGCCTAGGGTTCTAGAACAAGGGTGTGTTGTTTACAGCGTAGGCCACAATCATTATACCGAATGGGGAATCATGCGGATATGGCCCAAAGAAGAAGTACAAGGGTATTGGCAAGGGCCAGTACAACTGGCCTCCCTAAACTCTGTCGCTGACGAACAGCAGTCGCTCAAAAGCTTGAGGTTCCTGGGTATCGAGTCGAAATCTGGCTGGGATTATACAGATTATACAGCAACAGAGTCTATATGCTCATATAACTGTGCTAAGGATTACCAATGACATGGCGAAACGTCTGACACAGGAAATTATCGACCCCCTATTCTATATATACTAACACGGGCCAAAGGATCGCGGTGCTCCACTAGCGACTCAACCGCTTGCACATAGCCATGCTTGGCAGCGTACATCAGCGGCGTTGCCTTCCAGAGGGGCTGCTTTGAACTACCCGGATTTTCTAGATGAGCCGGTTAGAAGGACTGCTCTGAAGTACTTCCGTCTGTCAATGGAAAACGTTTTGGCAAGGCCGCCAGATTCTCGGATCGTGCCAGACAGGTTCGCCTGACATGTGTTGATCAGTCCGACATCCGCTCACGAACGACACAAGGTACCGATCAGGAGTAACGATAAAGATTACAGTCAACCTTGAAACCACCAGAAGGACTCCAACGCACCTTCTGCTTTCTCAAAACCCATTAGGTGCTTGTTTGTACAGACGCCAACTCCAGGGGAATGAATCTATTCCACCGCAGATATATGGCCGCCATCTTGACCGCAAAGCTCTGCGATGCAGGGAAAAAGGAATGCAGCCATGCTACAGCAAAGCTTATGCTACAAACGTGCTTGCGGGCCTTCACGTCAGATTTTCGAGGCCGCTATACACCACAACGCTGAACCTGGGGGTTGTATGCCCCAAACCCTTCAGGTGCCTTACAAACCCCAAACCATGAAACTCTAATTACAAAGGGTCTTGAGCTGAAAGCATGTATTCGGTGAACTAGATTAGATCATCAAACAAGTCTGAACTGAAACCTAATGCTGCCCTTGACAAAACAAACCTCGGCCTTCACGTCGGCCCCTGAAACGGCTTAGGGTTTAGGGCTTCGTGTTTATATATATATAGGATACATATATATATATATATCTTTTTTGGGCTCCCGCATGGCGAGTCTGGCGACTGCATGGCAGGTAACACGTGAGCTTGGTAAGATGACACTGTGCGATCCAGCAGCACTGTGTATCCGAAAAGACCCCTGACTGCCTCACGTACTTGCTACAACAAGATAGCAATACACAAACGGTGACAGTACGGAAGCACAAGTTGTCGTAAGGCAGCCCAGGGGATTGCATACTGATAAGGGCTAAAGGCAGTGCACAAGGACAGCACAGTACTACTCTAGATCAGTACACAAGTTCAAGGAGTCTAGCAGGACTAGGTGCCACTCAGTACTCCTAGTCCCGCTGAAACTTCATGAAGATCGACCCGTTTCCGACACAGCGAATACAACACTAACTTCAAGCCACTCGAATATGTCGATCTTCCACTATTCCTATATATATATATATATATACAGAGGGTTTGGGGTTAGGGACCAAGCCTCACCCTCGGAGCCCAAAGCCCGCACGATGAGCTCGGCGGCCGCGACGGACCAAAGCCGAAGGGTCATGGTGAGACTTTCTTCCCTCCTAATGTAGGAACCTCCTTGTGCCCTCAAATAGGGGTATATGGCCCCAAATAATGGGCATTTAGGGCCAGGGTTTAATAGAGGGTAGATGGAGGGAATGTAGGAACCTGCTTAAGAAAAGGGGTCCTTAAAGGGATCTATAAGGGTTCTATTTAGGGTTTATAAGGCTTGATGTAGGAACCGCTTTAGAAACCTAGGGCTTTTATTCGGGTTCCTTTAAAGGAGTCTATAGAGGTTACTATAAGGGATCTATAATAAGGGTACGATAGTAATGTAGGAACCTGCTTAAGAAACCTTGGGCCTTTATTTGGGCTCCTTATATGAATCCTACTATTTTGAGGTTATGGGACCAGGGTTTCTTAATCAGGTTCCTACATTACTTAGCAAGGACGAGGCCAGCATTGCAGGGTAGCTCCAAGACGGCTTTAAGCTTGGGGGTTTTGGAAGTGGGGTTGAGGCGGTTGAGGGTTCAGGCTTTACGGAATTCCAAATTTCTGGGTGCTTTTCGGGCCTCTCGGCTGTGACTGCCGGTGAAAGTGCCTAAGGCACAGAACTTTTTCAAGGCTGTTGAGCATGAGCAGCTGAGGGGAAACAAGGCCAAGGCCCAAACAGAATCCGACAACTTTGCTCTTTTGTCTCCCACGGGACTCAAGTTTGTGTAGAATCGCTTTGGGCTCTTTCTCTAAGACCCCTCTTGTTGCCAAGAGCTCAACCAATCGTCGCATGCTTCTAGGGTCAAAGGTGTCGGGTTTTGGTTGGATTGGTTCTGCAAAGGTTAATGCGGTTTTCAGGGTTTGATAGGATTCGGGTTCGAGCATCAAAGGATATCAAAGGTCTAATCGAAGGTCTAAGATTTTGAGCGGTTTTGCTAGTCTTTATCAGGGCGAGCAACCCAATGACAGCCTGTCCCGTCTAGAGTGTAGGAGATCTTTCGGGATCTTGTCCTGATCCCTGAAGCGGTCTTCCCCCGCGAGGCGACATGACAAACCCTACAACCCTGAAACAACCAAGAACGCTCGACGAAAAAGCTTCAAAATTAAGGACCCCCGCAGTATAGTGCCTGACTAGTAGCACCCTTGATGATGCTATAATGCAAGGAAAAGCCCACGAAAAGCTACCCTGGACCCTCTAACTGACTCTAACGCCAAAAGACTCAAACACCTGAACCCTTCTGCGACCCTGAACCCAACAAAAGCTTGAAACAAAATCCCACAATTCCGCCCGAAGTGAAGCAACAAATCTACATCAAACCCTAAGCCCTGAACCCTACCTAACCCCCCCCTATAATTACCCCGGATACCCACTATAATGGACATAAGGCTTCCATTAAAGGGCCCTTCGAGTGTCCTGGTAGGCCCAATCTAGATGGGAGTTTCCGAAAATAGGGGACCCTAATATAGCAGCCTAAATAGTAGGATCCTTATATAAGGACCCCAAGATACGGTACCCCTAATTTTCGGAAACTCCCAAACCTTCGATGAGGCCTCGGGATCGAACAAGCACACGGCCACAGAGTTCCCTTCTTCGCCAGAAGCCTCGGGAGCTGGCGCCGCAAAAAGGACCACCCAGAAAAGGCTCTCGAAAGGACTCCCGCGTGCTTAGTCGGGAGGGACCCTTTACAGGGATCTATAGGGATTCTATAGAGATTCTATAAGGGTTTAGGGTTTAGGGTTTTGGGGGAATGGGTCCCTATAGTAGTCCCTACATAATCCCTAGTCATCGTCCCCATTCGCTAGTAAGCACCAGGTAGAGGGCCCTGATGGAACTTTTTGTGCTATGAGCATTTACACAAACTGGAACTGGGCTTTGGTGTTGCTTATCATTCATTTTAGATGGTTGATGCATCGCTAAATCAATCGCGAGGATGGAAGGACTCTTCAGGCTGCCAACTATTTGACACCCTAAACCCTAAACCCAAAAACCGAGACCCTAAACCCTGAACCCTTTTCCCTTTTCGACGGCGTTTGGGCGAGGAGCCGGCGATTTTCAGGAGGCATCCAAACCTTTTCCCCTAAGGGTCAAAGGACCCTATGATCAGGTACTCGGACTCAGGATAGTATAGTGCGAGAGTATATGATAATTAGGTACTTGGACCATTGGGGTTTCTGCTAACGGACAGAGTCCCTGCATACTCCGCACCCTCCGCTTCATTCCTAACCCCGACACACCACCCAGACAGAATCAATGCAGAAACCTGATACCTATCCTCAAACCCCTTGTTACGATAAACCCTGAACCCGAAATCCTTGAGCCCTACCCCCCCCCCAATTCGTAAAATTTCACTACATCAAAAACTGTTGGCTTCGAGGGTGTGTGTTCGGGTGAGGGTGTGCCTTGAGTCTCTGAAGCCCAATCCTAAGGGCCCAAGTACAAAAGCTTGTGTATGCACCACAACGACTTAGGTTTGGGGATCTCTCGGGGTTTATAATTTTATAGGGCTTATATAGTTCTACCGTCCCAGACCCTTTATTGGGTCCTTCTGACTCCTAGAATAAACTGTGGCACTCGCTGGTTTGGGGTCCCAGGGTTAAGGGGGTAAGGTTCTAGGGTGCGACGGTGGTTTAAGGTATGAGGGTTTAGAGTTTCTGCAATTGGGACTGCGCTTGTCTGGGGGTGGTCTGGAGGTCGCCCCCCCTGGGATCCAGTCACCGAAATACCGATCACATGTAGCCTTTACTTACCGGTAGGACCCTAGCCATGCACTAACCCTGAACCCGACCAGCACACCCCAAGTACCCTCTAATAGAGCCCTTATGGTGGTATTTGGGGCATATTACAGGGAACTTGGGGGGTCTAGGTATAAACCCTCAACTCAGGCCTTCTGAAACCAGGGATTCCAGATGATCGCCAAGCCCACGACAGTGTTGCGGGTGAAGGGGGCCGAAGGGGGCCGTAAGTCGCTGTCAAGGGCCAAGGGTTCTACGTGTTGCCCCAAGCCCTAAGCGTTTAGGGCCCCAGCCCCAAAGCTGAAACAATACGTGCGGCAAGTGCATGGACTGACGAACTTTGGGGGGTAACCGGCCTTGAAGGATAAGATCAATACAGAATTTCTCTAAAGTAAGGTTAAACAGTTATAGCTGATATCCCATGCTCGAAAGCTTTTGAGGAGAGGCACGTCCCCTTCCTCTGTGGCAGGCATTGGCACGGCCTCCTGAGTTCCACCCGAGGAGGATTTCTCAAATCACAAGCAAAGGCCTCATGAAGAACCCAAGGCACGGTGTTTTGGCACAGGATGCCTGGTTTCCAGGAAGCTGCCTAAATCCTAAACCTGCGGTCCCTAAGGCCTACACCCGAACCCGCATCTCAGGGTTGAAGATCTGGATGTAGAGTTCAGAGCTGATGGCATAGTCAAGTCTTACCGGCTAGGAGAGTGTGCTAGGATTCGTAGCTTCGCTTTCCTCTACGCTCCGGTCCTCGTTCGTGACTCGCACGACTACTGGGACCTCACCTTCTGTCTTGGTGGGCTCCACTTAGGCCTGAACTGGGGCTCAAAGCAAACGATCTCACAATCGGTCTCAGAGTGTTGAACATGTTTCACAATATGTCAAAATGCCAGCGATTGGGCTGTAAGCCCTCAACTTTTCACTGCACTGCGCAAACCCCCGAAACCTCTCAACCCTGACCCTAAACCCTAAAACCTTTTCCCTTAACCCCCAAGAACCTAAGGCCCAAAGCCGGGTAAGAGCTGGACAGCTGGACCTTCTTGCCTCGAGCCCATGACCCCT